CAGTCAGGAGCAGTTAAACCATAGCTCATCCACCTATTTTCACCATACCCCTGGCTGGCCGTATAAATGAGGCGTTAGGGATTTATCTTGTCGCCATGCTTGATGGTCCTTTGTGTGGATAAGCGAGTTTAATTTTTGTAAATTGGTGCTAATTAAATCCTGCATTATAATATAATAATAATAATAGCAAAGCTGTGTGGGTTACAGTTTGAATTTGTTAAAACTGAAGTGGATGTTTTCAGAGAATAAGTTACAAGCACTACTGCTATTTGCACCATTTAGCATCTATACATACAGTTGGAACACTGATGTATCCTACCCAGGGCCGTGGATAAGGTATTACCACCAAGTCCTCCTGTACGGGGTCCAGGCTAGCAGGGGGGCTCAGGCATCTGGGTGACTCTTATGTGGGAAGGACGGTGTTCCGCACGGCGCAGGGGGGGAGGAAATTACTGGAACTTATCCCTTGTATAGCTCTCTCTGCAGCAGCTGAAAGCTGGCTTCCTCTTCTGACCCTCCTGCTGGCTTCAGCTGCTGCAGAGAGGGCCATGGTGATCAGTTCCAGTAAGTGCCACCCCCCCCACACCCATCACCCTCCCTGTGTACCATACCTTTCTCCCTTCTGCCCAGCCCCTTTCGCAGTGTTGCCGGTTTCCCTCCTCTCCTTCCCACCAGCAGCTGCAAGCACACAATAGGATCCTTTAGGATGGAGAGTGGAGGAAGGGATCCAGTAAATATGTCACATTTACCAGCCCCTTCCTTTCCTGAATGAACACAATGTGTGACCAGTACCAATCATGCACTGTGTTCATTCGTAACTGAAGCATAGTAAAAATTTTTTTTGGGGGGGGGGTCCTGTCAGGTTGGCTGTATGGGGCCCCATGGTTTCTAAAAGCAGCCCTGATTCTACTTATAATTCCTAATAGCTTCTCAAACCAGGAACTAATCTGCATACCTCCTGCAGCAGGGGTGAAGTGCATGAACATTTAATCTATGTAAATGCTCACCAACTAGAGCTACAGGCTACCAATTAATATGTTATGTGAAGGGGTAGAGGGTGGAAGAAGGTAGTGTGGCTTTTAGTAGGCAGTATGAAATTTGGTAGGTAGGCAGGATAGAATCTCATAGTGTATTTGAAACTTGGAGCAAAGGCTGACAATCTATTTTAACTTAGAGGTTAATAAATTGGGCAGCACAGTGGCTAAATGGTTAGCACTTCCACCTGGCAATGCTAGGGTCATTGGTTTGAATCCCAACCATGGACACCACCTGTCTGGAGTTTGCATGTTCTCCCTGTGCCTGTGTTGGTTTCCTCCAGTTACCTCCAAAGACATGCTGGTAGGTGAATTGGCTCCTGTCTAAATTGTCCCTAGTATGTGTATGTATGAATGTGAGTTAGGGACCTTAGATTGTACACTCCTTGAGGGTTAGGGACTGATGTGAATGTAAAATATATATATGTAAAAAGCCCTGCGTAAATTGACAGCACTATATAAGTGCCTGAACAAAATAAATACATTGTTAACAACTTCATTGACAGAGAAGCTGACAATCTATTGTTTGGGCACAGTGCTCCAGACTCTGATAGCAACAGTATGGTGCTTGGCAGGGAAGGTGACAATTTGTTGGTGATATGAGGCTCATACCAATACATCACTATTGTTTAAAAGAACTGGATTATGGTCTGTGTGCTTGTCCTTGTACTGTAAGCACCCAGAGAAAAAGGCACCAAGAGAATCTTTGATGGCTTACACACATGTACCACTCAAAGCTCTCCCAAAACAATCATACTCATGTTGGGAACAAATATAAACTATTTTAGCCTCCCATTTTGCACTACTTTATATACGTATATATATATATATATAGATATACATAGATATACATATAAAACTAAGTATAAAACTGTATAGCACGGTATTTTGTGCAGAATGGGCTTTGTTTGACCCTTCAGCAAATGCCTAAAGCTGTGTACGCAGTGCATACGTGCATTGTAGCAAAATCAGTGCTATCCAATGTATCACAATTAGTGCCATACATTTCTGTACATTGCTGTAATGGACTTTTAATGGCATTTCACTGCAACATATAGATGTGGGTTTAATCACATTAGCATGGTAGTAGTTTGACATAAAGTGTATGTAAACCCTAACAATGAACTTCTCCTATCCAGTCACTTGTGGTCTTTTTTTAAATATACCTTTGAATGCATTTTGTTATGTCTGTTTAGGACGTTCAATAATACCTGTTGCCCTATGTTTTTGGGTTTGTTTTTTTTTTGCAAACTCTGTTTATTAAGAAGTTTAAAATTTAGTCCTCATGCACACTGGACATTTTGATAACGCTGGTAACGTTAGCAGTGTAAAACATGAGTTTTTCAGCTTTTTTTAGCGTTTTTTTTGCATTAGCGTTTAGGCGCGTTTAGCGTAATTTTTCTGCGTTTTTCCATGTGTGCTGTTCCCCTCATATTTGTTATTTAACTGTGCATTTTGTATCACCAATTCTTATTTCACCACGTTTGTTTCTATGTCTTGATCTGTTGCTGCCATCTGCTATCCATAATTTGCATGCTGCATGCCACTGTTATTGCTAGTAAAGTTTTTTCTCTGCTGGGCGTGGTTTTTAGGCAAGCCTTGGTTCTGGTCACTTCCTGCAGCCATTTTTATGTGCTTTATAGCTGTGTGACAGGACATTCAATACCCTGGGCTTGTGAAGGCATCAGTTTTTGACCAGCAGTTAGCTTCAGGAAAGATATCACAGAACAGCATCAATACCTCTACTACCTTACAGTATTGTATCACTGTTTGTCGCTGTATTTGGACCAAATAAACCCACGCTGATTTCATTCCTGTGTATACGTTTGGATCCATCTAACCTGAGCATCTGCCGGTCCGGTCTGCTCCACTGCTTGGATACGAAGGTAGGAAGTTACACAGCTATTATCAGTTATACCTTCATTCGCCTTCATGTGGGGACAGAACACCATGTTTGCATTTTAGTGGTTTTTAGCTTTTTTGGTCAAAAAAGTAAAAAAAACCACCGGTTTGCTGTGTTTTACTACGTTTTTCAGCGTGCATGGACACATAAGATAACATGCTGGGGGGTTTACTAGCTGTAGAAAAAAACGTCAAAAGCCAAAAACAGCCGCTGTAAAAACGTCAAGTGTGCATGAGGACTTTTAGTACAAAACAAAGCCTATTGGGCATACCCATGCTTGGAAAAACAACTTAAAAATACATTAAAAAAAACAGTAAAATGGCAACCTATGTCTATTGTCACGCTATACCTAGTTCACAGCTGATGCATCCATAGTCGGAGCAATAGAAAAAGACTTCCAACAGTACACTAGTATTTCTTGTAACAGTAAGAGAATGTGTGTCACATTAAATTCTACTGGGAAGTTTTGGTGGAGGCAACCGTGTCTTTGGACTGTATCCAGATGTCCCAGACTTTAGTAAATTTTTTTGGGCAGCCTCTGGATTTATAAGTGTATTTATAAAGTGGTACCACTGCATTAATTAGGCGTTTCCAAAAATCAGATGTAGGGGTCTGGGGAGATTTCCATTTAAGTAGTATAGCATTGAGTGCATAAAACAGCAGCAATCCAATCAAGATTCTCATGGCTCTAGCCATAGCCAAGAGATGGACTAGCCACAAAAGGCAGACAACTATAGTTAAAGGTACAGATATAGCAGTTATAGAGCGTTTACACTTGGTAACCTCTTCCCAGAAGGATTGAATTACAGGACAATTCCAGAAACCGTTGGAATGTCAGCGGGTCCTCCAGACAACATCAGCATTTAGGTGGATGGGTTGGAAATATCTTGTGTAATTTGTGGGGGGTAAAATAAACTTTACGAAGGATTTTAAATTGATTTAATTGGTTTCAGGCAGAGACTAGTTGCTACACAGGGTACTCCCATACGTCCTCCCAGTCTTCAGAGTCCAACTCTGACACCTACCTGCACCAGCAAGACAGCAATTTCTCAAGATCTTCATCAACAGAGGGTTGAAGGGCTTTATACTGTATATAGTAAAAAGTCATTTCACCAGAGATTCCTCACACAATAAGGACTCTATTCCTGTTCCTTCAAAGATAACTGGTTGACTGTGAAATTGTAGCTGAAATGCATGGCGCAGTTGGAGGTACTGGAACAGGTATGAGTTAGGGAGGGCATATTGCATCTTTAAGGAGTTAAAGGTTTTAAGAGCACCGCCTTCACAAATCTGATTAAGGTATCTAATATCCTTTGCGGCCCAGATATTGAGATCTGGGAAGAGAAAAAAATTTAGTGAGAGTAGGGTTTAACCATAAAGATGTGTGGGGACCAAATATGAGAGGACTATGGGAGCTTCAGACGCCAAGCTTTAATAAACACCTTCATGGACTGGGTGATGGGATAAAGGGTCGATGCTCCTCTGTAAAGTAGGTTTTTCAGAGCTTCATAGGAACTTAAAAATGCCGCCTCCTATACCACGGAGCATTATTCTCGTCAGCCATCAACCAATTATGGGCATGGGAGAGCAACACAGTAATGTAGTAGGCATGCAAATCGGGGAAAGCTAGCCCAGGACCTTTGCAGCACCGCCAATCAAAATCTAGATTGAAAACTCCATAGAAAAGAAACAAACCCAAACTCAAATTGTTTTAAAACATTTCTGTGGAATTTACACAGAAGCATGGCAGATAATATACAAAACAGGTACAAGATTAATCTTACCTATGAGGGAAAGAGGAAGGTTTGCCCATGCTATCATGCATTGCTTCGCCTTTTGCAATAGAGGTAGGAGATTTAAAGTGTTACTAAACCCAGGACCCTGCATTCACTCTATCTGGTCTCCCACAGTACACACAACATGGAGGTGCAATTATTTTAGTAAATATAAACTGCTAAATACCTTTTCTCATCAGCAGTTAGAACAGTCTTGTGGCTTCTATCAGTGTCCAGCCGAGCACTGGTTAAAGCTTGTAGGAGGAATTTTCTTTCTGCTCTAGGAGGATACAAAACCACTGACCTCTGTCTGGACAGTGCAAGTTGCCCTTGTGCTGATCACATGCACTCTACCAAAAAAAAAACCTCTCTAGCAATACACACTAAACTGAGCATGTGCAAAAGGGCTACGGGCAGTGGTGTATTTAGTGGTGAGGAGGTGTCAGTTAGTGGTATGAGTGGCTAGAAGGTGTCAGTTAGTGGTATGAGCGGCTAGAAGGTGTCAGTTAGTGGTATGAGAGGCGAGAAGGTGTCAGTTAGTGGTATGAGAGGGGAGAAGGTGTCAGTTAGTGGTGTGAGCGGCGCGAAGGTGTCAGTTAGTGGTATGAGCGGCGCGAGGTGTCAGTTAGTGGTGAGCGGCAGTGTCATTAGTGGTATGAGCGGCGAGAAGGTGTCATTATTGAGCGGCGCGAAGGTGTCAGTTAGTGGTATGAGCGGCGAGAAGGTGTCATTAGTGGTATGAGCGGCGAGAAGGTGTCATTAGTGGTGAGGCGGTATGAACGGCGAGAAGGTGTCGTTAGAGGTATGAGCCGTGAGAAGGTGTCACTTAGTGGTATGAGCGGCGAGAGAAGGTGTTGTTAGTGGTATGAGCGGCGAGACGGTGTCAGTGGTATGAGCGGCGTGAAGGTGTCAGTAAGGAAAAAAATGTCACCAGCACACGGAGGATATTTTCCTTGCTGATTTTGTTCGGTTCCAGCCGACGGTCACTGCAGCACCCACTTATACACACAGCCATTTTTAACGCAGGAACGTGTGCGTTTGGATTATACACTTGCATATTGGTGTCAGTTAGCGGTATGAACGGCGTGAATGTGTCAGTTAGTGGTATGAGTCAGTCACCTGGCAGTCTCTCTCTGGTCAGTCTCCGACAGCTCTCCACCCCCCTCCCCACAATAGTATACATGGTATACAGAGTAGCAGGATGGAGATCACTCACCAAGCCTGGTGGAGGGGCGAAGACCGAGGGGGGGAGCCATGTACTGCCGTTATGTATCTTCCTCACAGCCGCATTTCCCTTCCCTCTCTGTGACAGAGATCCCTGCCTCCGCTGGACACTGCCATCCTCCGGGATCATCACTCAGCTCTGGCTCCTCACCGCCATCCACTGTGGAGAGCTCTGACCCTCAGAGCAGCCTGCTGCCTGGCCAGGTGCACTGGATGCTGGGAGTTGTAGTCCTTCCCCCGCACACCCTGCCGGGATTGTAGTTTGCTCCTGTGGAGGCGGCAGGTCGGAGGCGGGGGAAAGACTACAACTCCCAGTATGCAGTGCGCCCGGCCAGGCTGTAGGCTGCTCTGAGGGTCGGAGCTCTCCGCAGTGGATGGTGGTAAGAAGCCAGGACTGAGAGATGATCCCGGAGGATGGCCTTTTTACACAATGCAGAGGATTAACCCCTTAGGTTCCACAGTGAGTATAACAAGCATGCTTTACTGCATATACAGATTGATTTTACTGTTGTGGGTTTACTAACACTTGAAGCTTAGTACACACGATCAGAAAATAGTATAAAACACATCACTTTCGAAGCAATCATATGATAATCTGATTGTTAGGACACAGCTTTCGTCAGAAATTGTTCGAAGGGACAAGCACAAACATTTTTATACGATACCAAATCATAGGATTTTAATTTAACCAGCATGGTTTTTGTCCGTAAAATACAATACATTACATCACTTTCAAATTTTTATTCTGTTGTATGAGAATATTTGTTACTTTAGTAATCTCTTAATTTTCTAAAAAAAAAAAACGACGATCATTTTATCTGATATTTTCATTGTGTGTATGGGGTTTAATCAAGCAGTACTCTGAGGCTCTAAAAGAAAATATTTTGCAGGGGCAGAATAGGGTCAACCACCACTATTGCACTGGCATCAATTGGCAAAATTTGAGGCTTATCCCAGTTAACTTTTAAACCAGATAGGGGATAAAATGACGAGCCTCCTTAAGGGATGGACCCGGATCATTAAGGAACATAACAATGCCACTGTTCATGTCATGGAGCCCATCTGAATACCCATGATACTGAGGGTCTGATATCTAGCCTGATCTATGGGTTCCATAATAAGTGCAAACAATTCCAGGGAAAGTTGACACCCTTGTCTTATCCCCCTACCTATGTGAAATCCTTTGGAGAGGTCACCCCCCCACCTCCAGTTTAACTTGAGCTTTATACAGGATTTTAATCCATGTACGAAATATGGCCCGAATCCCATCACCTCCAACACAGCAGAAATATAGGCCCACTCAACAGAATGAAATGCTTTTTCTACATCCAACATAACCAGGATTCGTGAGGCTGACTCATTTGGGTTCGTTGAATGTGTGTTAAAACTCTATGCAAATTTATATTTGCTGATTTCCCCATCATAAAGCCGGTCTGATCAATACTGACTAGCAAAGGGAGAAGCTTCATTAATCTCATTGCCAGGACTTTGATCAGGATTTTCATGTCATAATGCAAGAGTGAAATGGACTTTTAAGAGGCACATTGCAGGGGGTCTTTACCTGGCTTGGGTAGTAGCACAATGTGTGCTTGATACATTGAGGGTGGAAGGGTTTGAGTCTCATAATTTTCCATGAAAACTCTGCAGAGACGCTGGGCTAATTCTTTGGCTTGCAACGTGTAGCAATCCTCTGGCAACGCTTTGGGCCTTGGTGTTTTTTTTGGAGGAAATATTTCAATGGCTGCTTCTATATCAAAGACAGAGATTTATTTATCAAGAGCACCAGCTTCCTCTTCCAATAAGGTCATCAGAGAGAGGCCCCACAGAGTATCCAGCAAAGATGAAAAATCTTGTGAGCTGATAACTTCCTGTCTTCTCTAAATGTACTGACTGTTATCAATTACATTGTCCTCTGAGGAATACAGAACAACATCCCTCTGTGTTTACGAGAATAAGAGAGGGACAGTGTTCTGTAGTCCTAGGTCTAGATGTGTATTACTGGTAGAATCGACAGGTGAAAAAAGTTTGATAAAGGAAAATCTATCTAGCCACCAAATCTATGGATGGATAAGCTGCAAAATATTTTTATGGTAGGGTTTAGACATGCTTCAAACATAATGTGCATGAAAGTATGGTGTGACAGGATAATTCAGGCCAGTGTGTGTGCAGAATGTGAGGGGGCATGAAAGAGAGAGGGTGACAGTATGGTATAGATTAAAATCACCAAGAAAAAAAACTATATGGATAAAGAAATAGATAATAAGGGCATTAAGATGAACTTAGAGTTAATAGGGCGTTAAATGGAAACAATTATTATTAAAAAGCAAAACTTCTAGCTGATATTATTTGCAGTTCAAAGGACACCCCTTTGATCTGCACATAAAAGAACCAGTCTAAAGAAAATACAAGAATAATCTTGTTACAACATATTTAGACTTACTGTACCTATTTAGACTTATTGTACTTACTGTACAACTTTTTGGCAGCATTTTAAAAGGGAAATAGAGATTTGTGGTTGAAAGCTCCTTTCTTCAATTCCCCCTGTGGGGAAGACATCTTGCTCAAGTGCTTCCATAGTGGGAAGCTAAGCAAAAATGTGACTACAGCATTGCCATGTCGAAGTAAAGAGGTTCAAATACCTTTACCAATGGGATCATAATAGACACTGGACTATGATATTGGGCCTGACAGGCATTTGGTTTTTGCCCTTAAGGTCAGTGGAACTGTAGCTGCCAGTGTGCCCAAGCTTTCCCCAAATCACCCCAGTGACCGCTAGGTGGGTTTGATGTGGCTCATACAGGTAGTTCCTGTTTAAAGGAATCCTAGAGTAAGGGGAATCATGTAAATTCTGCATAGATTGGAAAGATGACAAAGTATGAGAAGTGAAATATCTTCGGTTAGTCCTGTTTGGAAAAAATGACAGACTCTGCCAAAATGTCTGCTTTGGACTATCAAGGGTATCCTCACCCTGACTCGATTGGTCTGGACATGCTGAGGGATGTCTCTCCTAAGTAGAAGGTAGGGATGTCCCAAGGGGCAGTTGCTGAATATAGGTGCCTTGTCTGTGCACCAGGGTTTTGGGCCCATTCCCTTTGGCAAAAGTGTTTCTTCAACCGTAGAGTTGGATATTGTGGCTACTGTGGAGTTGGCGGTCTTCTAGACGACCCCAGCCAAATTGGTGGTGGAAGGTTTAGACGTCATAGTTATTTCTTCAAATGAACTTTGGCCTGTGAAATCACTGCTAGGGCCAAATGAGGAGAGTGCAGTGATGCATCTGGCTAACTGCTGAGCTGATTTCAGCTTTACATACACCACGTGTTGGTGCCTCACTTATGGAGTGTGTCTTGGCTGAGAACTCAGAGAACCTAGAAGCTGTGGCAACTGTTGGAGCAGAAAAGTGCACTTTGTGTACTGTGGATTCTCCAGGAATTAAGGCAAGTGATGGGGTTATGTGCCGCAGCCTCAAGGACTGGGTAGGAGATACTGTCCATTGACTCAAGTGACTCTGGTGAGAGCAACCTCCCATGGCTTTTGATTGGATGCAGTGCAGTGTACATTGTTCCTCTATAAAGAGCGCCATGTCATAGTAGGGATGTTAAGTGGGAGCTCTGAACAGCAAGAGTTTGTGAAAGAAAGCTAAGTGGGTACATGAGCAGCTAGCATTTTGTGGCTGAAATGTTCTAGAACCCAATGAAAGAGCCTGATTGAAATACTTCAGTCCTGTAATTGTTTTATATCCTACTATGACTGTGCTATATCTGAATGGCATACACTATTACCCTTAATATAAAAAATGTAGCCCTGTCCCTTCCTCTTTTACAAGGACACTATACAAAACAGTACAAAGAAGGGTCCCCAACAGACCTTCAAGCTGGTCAGCAAACTCATTTGTTTCAGTTCTTCAGGTTTTTAGTTGCATACATTTGCAAATTCATGTGAAAGTCACACTGCCTGATAACTGTGGTCCAAAACTCTAAGCTCCCTAAGGTGTGCCTGGGAGGTACAGGTGCAGCATGCAGACCCTCTGCCAGCAGATGGTTTTGGTTACCTAAATTTAGTTTTTGTCTCTCCTGTAGTCAG